CGTTAACGAAAATGTTTTTTCACTTCTAGTTTTCGTTATTTCGTTAGTTTTCGTTAACGATAATAACCTTGGTCTGAACCTTTTTGTGTTGACTGTTGCATCTATTTTATTTATTTTTCTATAAAATATTTAAATAACAGAGGTTCACCCAAAGTGCTTTAGAGACAGACATTTTACATTTCAAGTCTCAAAAATTTCAAAATAAAGGAAAAGCTGGTGTGTTTTTGTTGTCTTCAATACTTTTGGAAAGTAAAAATCACAGTGATTTAGTGGTCATTAAAATGTGCTCAGAATTTGCTAATTGATTATGATTTATCTGGTAAAATGTGGATGCTGATAAAAGGTAGCTTCAGATTATTATTTTTTTTATTATAATAACTAGCATGTTTGTGACCTAAATCAGTGGTTCTCTAACTGTGGTACGCATACCACTGGTTGTACGTGGGCTCCCTCTAGTGTTACGCGGGAAGTCTCCTTTTTTTTGTTTAAGATCAAATGATATACGTCTTATATATACTACTTATTGGGGGATTTCTGAAAAATTAAAACACACACCTCTGCTATCACGTCTGACGTAAATGAAAACAGGAAACTAAACAGCAGTGATATTTGTAGGGTTACTGTTGGGCTAGCTGGTATATAATGGTGTGCTGTGTGATCGCTAGCGACACAGCTATGTTTGCATGATGTAAACACATTAACACAGTGAAGCTGGAGGATGAAAACTAACTTTTTTCTACTCGATAAAAGTTAACATGAGGGTTCCTGATATTAGGGACAAATGCAATCGCATGGCAGGACGCTGTAAATGGACCAAACGTCAGTCAGGAGAACAACTGAGATAATTCATCAACAATACGAGGTTAGTCATTCATATACATCCTTTTTATGACAGTTAAAATAAATAACATTCATATAAGAGATAAAATTGTCTCATGTAAACTGTATATGGTGTTAAATAGACCTATACTACTGTACTTTAATGTCAGTCATAAGGGTGGTACTTTAAGAGCCATATATTTTATGAGATTGTGTTCATTGTGAAAAGTTTGAGAACCAATGCCCTAAATCAAGTTATCTCCATTAATGCTTGCTAACATAATGCGCTTTCTCAAAGAAAAAGGCTCAGTGCATTAGTAATCCTGGACAAGGATCATTGATGAAACACCCAGAACACACATAATCTCCATATAAAAGATTTGGCATCACTCACTGGTTTGAAAGGGTAGACTTTAGCGTTTAGACTGCAGGCATATTGGTTTTAACTGACTTAAAGTGGATTAGAGTGTGAAGTGTTACGCTATCAGCTAATGCTAGCTCTTTACATCTAGTCTTCACTACAATGGCAATAGTGAAAACAGTCCCCTTTGGGGTTTTTTATAACCAATAGGTTTCATCCATCTTTTATATACAGTTTATGAAACTGACTTGCTCTTTCCCCATTAAAGTGATTTTTTTTTGCCTTGCTTGCTGCTTAGAAACACAACATGAAAACTTGAAGATTAGCATTATTTTTTTTTTGGCAAACTAATATTAGCATAGCATTGGATGTAATAGCACCCTTTCATATTGCTATTAGACAGCCATCTAAACTTTCCAACATGTAGTACAGAAATATACTGCAAATGTGTACCAACACGTACACAGTTTGCAGTTTTCTCTGCTTATCTCATGCTTAAATAAGCCAGGGAACTTTATTTTGAAGAAAGTTGGTGCACCTTTGGAAAGATCAAATTGAGCTCAAAAGTAAAACTAGATTACACAACTAGACAACAAATGGATCAGACTCACTTTATAATGAAAACATTGTGTACAGTGATCTGTAGTCTGAGGGAAAAGGGTAAGGTATAAAATACTCACTTATATCACTGCAATAAGGTGCATTGTGGGAGAAATGCTTGACACACAGCTACAGTCAAAAAGGAGGGTACTCTGTGTGGTTCATAACAGGGGACTGGATTGTGTCTGAGAAGAGCAGAGCAGGAATGAGAAAGGGTGTTGTTCAGTGAAGAGAGAAACACAACATAACGTACAGACAGAAGCACAGAGAGGTGTTACCTCATGTGTTTCACTCCGGCCATTCTTGTCTGACACATTGCATCGCTGTTCTTTTACTTTTCTGACCTGGTTGTCAATAACAGTGTTTATTCTTTTCTTTTTAAATTATTGAATAGATAGATTATCAGAGCAGGCAACATTTTTCCAGTCTGGGAAAAAAATGTTGTATAGCCAGAGATTCAGTTCTATTCACTTGCTTCAATGAGGCATTTTCACCAGAGAGCTGCTGCTCACTGGACATTTTCTTTTATTCAGACCATTTTCTGTAAACCCTAGATGATGGATGGTTCTGTGGGAAAATCCAGTGTCTAACATATTGCAACCAGCCTTTCTTTCACCAAAAACCATGCTATGTTCAAAGTCACTTAATTCCCATTTCACCCCCATTCTGAGGCTTCAGGTTTGAACTTCAGCAGGTTGTCTTGACCATGTTTACATGCCTAACTGCATTACTGAGCTGCTGCAGTCTGACTGACTTAGGTATTTGAGTTAATGAAGTGGGGCCAGTGAGTGTGTTATGTTTGTAAGGCTTGGATAAAACAGCCTCTCTGTATTCCCTTGTGTGACAGCTAATTATTTTTATTGAAAAACAATTTCACACCTTGTTAAGGATAAATGTTTTGTCTTTGGCTGCATGAAGATCTAATTTGAGCCTCTAATACGTTATATGTTGTCAGATGCTCAGTCCTGTATATTCGACTGTTTCATCAAGCCTTGTTTCCTAAGGGCAGATGAACTGGTTTGGCATATATAAGGTGATATTTAATCTTGATGTTTTTATAGGCATTTGACAGGTACACGGCAAGAGTGTGAGAGTCAACTGAAACAGTAAAGTCTAGGTAGACTTGTAGCAAAACCAAAACTATGAACTACAAAAGCAGAGTAATATAATATTTGACAGATCTTTGACTGTGTGAATGCATTTCTTTTTATTCCGGCATTTGTCACTGCAGCCCTGAGAATCCGGGCAGTTCCCCACACTGGTCCACAGCTTCCCCTACACAGAGGAAATTCCCATCAGGCAGCACCACAAAAGGAAAAAGCGTCTTCAAGGAGACCC